CGTATTCTCTTCCTATGCGCGCTCTGTCATTGTACCACGGTCCACCTCATAGGGACCTTTCACTACAGTGCAAGTTAATGGTGCCTCTGGTCATCATTGTAAGAACGAAAGAAAATGATATTGAAAATGAAATAGGAAGTGCACAGTCACGGCCAGATTCCTATACTGCTTTCTATTCAAAATTCCAGTCGAACCTACCTAGGAATAATTTTAAAAATTGAGCTTTTCAGGTCAATGAGGATGGTATTCTCATGTGGAAGCCAAAATTCTTGACACTCACTCAGAGCGAATTGTTATTCTATGAAGCAGTCCCACAAATGAAAACCGAGTGGGCCGAGCCGCGCATAACTCGACCGTTGGTTGCCACAAGGGTTGTACAAACGACGTCACGAACAGCCCCAGTTATGAAAGGTTGGCAGTTTAAAAATTTCTTTCTCTGAGCAACAACTATGGACCATATAAACACTTCACAATATGGATCTTTCAGGACTATCAGACGTCATATCGCTTCGGATACGAACGGGCACCCAGAATGGAGTGCGAACGCATACATTACGGGTAGAAACCCATGCTGATCTTGCTCAGTGGGTACGAGCGATCGTACTAGGAACCTACGAGGCCTGTTCAGAAACATCGCAGGTATGACAAGACCTGATTTGAAGAAGAGTTACCGCAAAGCAAAAGAAACCATCAAAACTCAACCCATCTAAAGGAAGATTACACGATACGGTCGAAATGCAGGGAAGTAACATAGAGGAGAAGCAGACGGGTTTCCTGAGAGTGTGGGAGATGCACATTTCGAAGGTACTAGGCGTTTAGCAAAAATGCAGAGAAGAACGTTCAGGTCGATGACGTTAGCACCGATGACTCATCTCATTGTCAGAACGGAAATCAAGGGACAGATAAAGACCCATCTCTTGGGTTCTACATCATTTTTTTCTTGGTTGTTCCAATAGCCGCCTCCAAAAGCAATCGTTTTATGAAGAAACATAAGTGATATGTCACATGGAAACAAACGAGGTTCCTCTTTGGTTGTTTATCGCTGTTTTGAGCGCCACTTCGCCCATGCGGAAGTTATCACAAGGTGATAACTGCAATGTAGTGCAATGCCCCGGTGGGATAGTCGGTAACACAACGCTAGAGGACTGGAAAGGAATAGTAAGACATGGTATGAAGTACTATAGAACAACAAGCTCACGATAGTGCTCATTATTATTCAAAAAATCTGTCTATAATGTGCTGTAATCATACATCTATACAAGGCGGTCTGATAGCTTATGAAGTACTTCCTTCTTGACAATTTCCACAGTAAAAAGTAGATGTGAATTTCTGTCTCGATGAGTAGAGTTCACAGGGAGACAGACTTTCCATCACCTCCTTCGGAACAACAAACACGAAAATTACAAGGATTCGAGAGAATTAAGGAAGCATCTTTACTATGAAGTCATCTTTCCCTGGGAGACCCATGGCTGCGCTCAAACTGTGATTCACACTGATGACTACGAGTTGGGAAGGTATAGAAGAGGTTACTGTATGATCTCTGATTAAAGGATTCCGAGTTACTTCTCCCTATCGAACTCTTATTGAAGCAGTCTCAACTTACGACAGATATAAAGAATCAATCAGCTTTTAGTAAAGCCTTTCAAACAGTTTGTGCTTCAAAACAATGGAAGAATCTAGAGAACAATTCCAGGTGACATCGCCTTGTATTTGCCGAGGAGAGAACTGCGAGCTAGTAGTGAACTTGGACACAGGAATTTCCTTATCAGGACCGAATCGAGAGGTAATAAGCACTTCCAACGCTTGAAAATGAATAAAATACAGAGCTGAGTACCGCACTTACCTCTTCAGATAATATGGCAGCACCCGTTCGAATCTATTCGAGCGACAGGTGACGACGGTGGTAGATTCCTATGGATAGACTTCGGCCCTCCAAGCGGCGAACAGGTATGAAATACCCAACCCTGTAACAGTAGGCGGTGCATGAAGTGAAAAGAAAAAGCTCTACAATGCAGAATATTTGCGAACTAGTTACCAAAGGTATGAGGTGATACCTGCACTAGTAAACGATACCAAACACGCTTTATAAACAACTGTTTATCACATGAAACCAAAACAGACAACAACAATTTCCAATGTTCAAACTCGCTTTAATTTCAGGAACTGGACCTAATTACATCAGCAAAACCGATAGTCTTCATTCTGCACTCTTTTTTGGCGACAAAAGTCTACCGGTTAGGCCTCTACGCTTGACGAGTGATACGAAAGGTTAGATCAAAAGAATTTCAAAATTATAACAAAAAAAAACAAGAAGATTAATTCTGAGGTGCACCATAGGCATCTGGCATTCGTTCAATTGAGAATCGGTGACCAAGAATATACATAATCGGCACGCCAGGAATTTTCCGTATTCTTCGTTTAAGATCACGATCACATGTGGCGACGATGTAGCATTTGTGCTAAAATGAGAATATTCCAGATTTGTGGCAAAATGGACCAAATAAGCTACGAATTGTTTCTCTACGGTTACGCGAGCACATGACGCCAACCGACGGTCGCGGTAAGGCCATCTTAAAGAGGAATCGTCGAATCATCCCAATGCAGGCGCTCCGCTTAGATATTCCCAGAAGCAGTATTACTCAGAATCGCTAGTGATTGTAAAAATAATGAACGCTGTGATCTTCTTTTGTATGATATTTAATAAATACGAGTTACTGGTTGAAAGCAATTCCACAACGTTATTTCACTTCTTAAATTCGTCAGGTCCAACGGAAATAAAGAATTTCCGATAAGAAAAACCGAGACTGGGATTTTATCAAAACAAAAAGGTATCATCAATCTCACACATACATTCCGAAATAAATCTTGTAAGACCTGTGGAATCCTTCTATTATATAAAGCGCTAACTTTGTGTGTCGGTTTGTGTATCTGTATGTGTGTGTGTGCGTGTGTGTGTGTGATGTATTACAGTCGAGATCCGTAAGTTGGGGTAGGCGTGTCACCGGAAGTGACGTGGACTTGATAGAAGTTGCGTAGGTAAGCTGTTGCCAGCATGCTTTGCTGATATCTCGCGATGTATATTGGAAGCACTTATCCACATAGATTCTATCAAGTACACGTCACTTCCGGTGACACGCCTACCCCAACTTACGGATCTCGAGTATATGTGTGTCCGTCCGCAAAATGAAGTGAGTGAAGGAAGCTCATGGGATAAACAAACCGCTAACAAATCGGGTAGCTTACAGGATTTGAGATATCAATGTTTTGTAGCAGGATAGTTGTGATAACACTCTTAGGGCTATATAAACACCTGCTTAGCACACTTCCGTTCATTCCACATGGTGCTGCAGTGGCAGCTGGAGAGAGGAAGGGAGGATGAGGAAGGGAAGCGAAAAATCTACCGTCATATCATGATTGTGTCCCTTCTACTGTATGAAACACCATTGTGTTGCATACGCGTCACTTCCAGGAGGTGTTGGTGTCACAGGAGGAAGGGACCATAGCGGAGGATAGAAAGCTTGCGCAGGAAAGGAAGGTCCCGGCGGTTGACGGGGGACTAATCTGGTAAGCCAAAAAGCAGATGTCGTCTTGAATGGAAATACTCAAGCGGATACGAAAGTCTCCAGGAGTTGAGACCCTTAGCAGTGCTGCATAGAAGAATGGTGGTGGCCTCAACCTTCGTTTCACCCCAGCAAAACACCAGCCTCGAGTCGTTGAAGTTCATCTACAAGGAGCTCCCCACTTGAACCCGACAGCTCACCTTCGTCTCCAGGCCTAATGTCCTTCAAATCCTAGCCGAATCTATGCTTAGATTTCCCGAGAAGTGTCTCTTAGATGGAAGGGGGATGTGAGGGATATGTAGTTTATTTAAACAGAATATGTCGAAACTTCGCAGAATCGCTCGAAAACTTTCAAAACTTTCATGTCTTGTCAGGTCTATGTAAGTGGGACCTAATCGTTCTGACGAACAAACCATCCAATATCACGAAAAGCCAATTACGTTACTTCACCCAGGAGCCAAACAACCGAACAGCTCCTACTTCTGCAGCTTCAGGACTGACCAGTCCACTTGATGATACGTTTCGCAATACTTGTTGAGTACATAAAAAACGTGCGAGGGGTGAGAAAAGAAAGAAAAGTGACCATGGATCATGTTCTGGTCTACTTACATACTGCCCGAGCATGAATCAATGAAACTTAATTTCTTTGTGAAGAACAATTGAAGGGACCACGTGCCCTGCCAGTTGGCATCAAAGACGTATAGTCAACAGTTAAAGGTCGTTACAGCAGTTGGTTAGTTCAGAAGCGACGCAAAACAACCGACCAATATTCTCCGATCTGCAGGTTCAGTGCTCTAACCAGGAAAGGTCATTAGGCCAACCCGGCCAAATGAAATGAGGTGCACATTTCTGTACGCAGCATGAGACGCTGAACTCAAATCTGCTTTCATTATCTGCTGAACTCTTCTCTGAAAGGAGTTACGGAGGGTTTTTGTTGCCGCCCTTGATTTTCAGTGTTTGCCTGCAATCACATGTTAGCCGCATTATAAAAGTATCGAAAGGAGAACCGAGGCACTGTGGTGAGCTTCGGTAGCGCAGTTGGTAGCGGTCTTGCTTCTCACAGGGGTCGCGGGTTCGGTTCCTTACGGGGTTTGGTGTTTTGCTTTTTTTCCAACATGGCTGAAAAGCCTTTTTGAATCCGTTATTTTATCAACGGTCGCCCGACGCTACATCTACGAAGAGTTTGCAAGCAGACCCTCTTAAATTTAAGCACTACTTGTCTGTGAGTGCCCATGGTGCCCGTAGTGCAGGTGCTATGCTTTTCCGTGGCAAGTAGGTACGATATTCGTATTCAGGGGATCAAACTACCCCTAAAACGAGTTTTTCGCCAAATCTGAGGTCATGAACTAATTGAGAAAAAGCGGAGCAGTGATGGGATTACCACTCCTCAAACTCCACTTTTTTGGGTTGACCAATCATGGACGACGGGGGTTTCTGTACTTCTACAGAATCGCCATCGATTGGCCGCCTATCTACATGATAACATATCATGCTTGCTTTCAGCCTTCTCATTTGCATATAAGCACATAGCGCTTTCATGTTTGCAGCTGATCGTCCTTATTTTACATATTAATAGATAAGCTTCCTAACATGCAAATTCTGCCACATGAGGAGAAATAGCATAGAAGCAAAGGAGAAGAAGATATAAGTAGATCTTGAAGGTCTTGAGTAAGTTGAAAGAAGTTCAAACGCGCAATTTCAAACAGGATTCTCGACATCGATGATATCAAAACGATAGCTAAAGAAGCAGAAGCCATAGTGAATAGTCGACCACTCACCTACTGTTCAGAAGATCTAGACTATTTACCACTGCGACCCATCGACTTCTTAAGACCGGGAGCCCGTCTTTGCGGACAACAACCAACTGAATATTCACGTGAATACCTCCCCTTCCAATCTACAAGAGACACTCTACTTGAAGACTGGACTCGAACAGCAGCAATAATGTCAGAATTTTGGACTCGATGGAATATGGAATACTTAACGGCTATGAGGGAAAACTTTCGAACAGAGCATGACCCGCCACGGTCTCATGAAAGCGGACCTCCAAAATTGGGAGATTTTGTCATCATACATGAACCCTTTCTGCAAAGGGGACAGTGGAAAATAGGGGAAATTATCGGATCCCAAGATGATTTCAAGAGATCTGTTGAGATTCGCCTTCCTTCAAAGAAGATCATCACACGACCGAACTGTCTAATACACAAACTGGAGATTCCTCCAACGGAACCACCGGACGAAGTATCTGAAAATCCACCTGCCACCACCGCCGTTCCTCAGACGTCCACTTCCAGACATCCCATGATCACCAGGTCCAAGTCTCGAATAAATCCCATGTTCCTTTGTCTCAGCATTCTGATGTTACTTTTCCAGCCTTCCTCTATGATAGACACCAGATGCCCCGAAGATCTCGACGTCAACAAGACTATACTTTACGCAAGCAACTGCGTTTCCAAAGGAATAGCGATAGCAAAATATACCGTCGAGAATGAAGAAAGAATGTGCTGGTTCCCTGTGTTCTGTCCCGTAGGACACATACGATTCGAACTTCTATCAACATACTCAAGACCTTCAAGATCTACCCTCTGCGGAGAAGCATGTCAATGCCCGAACTGGACAACTTCTTGCTCCTACAGCAGAAGCGACAAAACTGCAACTTCAGAACTCAAATTTATACCAAAGAGACTCCTGAACTATCATCCCAAACAAGTGTGCTCTTTTCAACCTTCTCCGAAATGTGCTTCAGTGAAGAAACTCGGCATATTCAATCAAATTCAATTGTTCGACAACAGCCTACTCCTAGTGGAGGAAATCACTGTCAGCATCAAAGACTACCTCGATAAATACGATTTCATATGCATAGACAAGAAAGGATGGAGGAGACATCTTCTTGACAGGCTTCTAACAGGGACATCCTACTTCTGCGAAAAACACAAATGCCACAGCAATGCAAGGCTATTCTGTACATACGACAACCCAATTGCCGTATATGTAATAAACGACACAGCCAACATATTCAAAGGAAATATTCCCATCAAAGCTTGGGGTCCCGTTATAAAATCCTACTACGAATATTCAACTAATACGCCTCTACCGGATACCAACAGTACCAGTGACGCCCTCACGCTACACAAGAGCTCATTTATCTCAGCATATTGCACGAAAGGAGGATTAAATTTGAAGTGCAATTCACACCACGACGTAGTGGAAGCTTGCAGCAATCATTATTGCATCTTTTCGAAATGTCCTCACAACTACTTATCCTTTCCGAACTCCATAATCATGTACGATTACAAGGTGAAGATCAAAGGCTGGCATCAAGGGAAACTCACCTTCGAAACTGAACTCTACTGTCACGCCCAACCAATCTGTGAAACTCTCCAGTGCCTTTTCTGCTGGGAACGCTTATACAACACGCAATGCTGGACGACCTTGCAGATAGCACTGTTCTTGTCTCTACTCCTCGTTTGTATCTTTGTGATACGCTGCACTTGGCTCCTTCTCAAAGTTTCAAAATGGATTGTCACAAGCATTGTCCGTTGTATCATCATCTTCACTCCAAGAAGAAGAAGAAGCCCTTCTATATGGTCAGAAAAGAAGATGTCAAACAAACCTCGGACTTACACCAGTCAAAGGAGAAAGCTTGGTTACATCCTCACCTCAGTCACCGTAATATTACAATTCTCTATCGTGTGGTCGTGTTCACAGGTGGTGACTTTGACTGCTCAAGAAAATACCTGCACTTCTTCCAACGGCTCGGAAAAATGTACCTTTAACGAAGTAACAATTGTCACTCTGCAACCACTCCAACAAGAAAGTTGTTTAACACTTCGGAACAACAACCATCAAGCCATTGCTACCATCTCTATCAAAATCGACGGCATCAAATTCCGCTGCAATCAAAACATCGAATTTTTCACTAGGGACCATAAGCTTATCGTCGAATCAATCCACCGATGCTACCTTGCGGGGAGCTGTGTGGAAAAGGCATGTGACCAAATACCTGCTCAGAAGCAACTAAAAGAATTCTCCGATCTGGCGAATCGTAGCCCCGGGTATACCTTTTGTGAAAAAGGCTGTGGGTGCTGGACGTGCGATGGATGCTTCTTTTGCCACCCTAGCTGTCTCTTCTATAGAATTTTTGCCGTAGCAAAAACAGAAGAAGTGTACACCGTTTTGAAATGCCCGAGTTGGGAAATTGTTGTCGACGCCGAAATCTCCATTCTGGATACCAAAACAACTGTGACGACAAAGCTACGGCTCACACCGGGGAAATCTATCGCATGGAATAACCTTCGATTTAGCCTCATTGGAACTACCGTACCTCAACTGCCAGTGCTCTCATCAACCTTCATGAAAACACAAAATAGAGTTTCTATCATAAAAACCGTATCAAAGGGACAACTGATCGCCAATAGTGCAGGGCAATTACAGTGTTCGACTCTCAAAGAAGCAAAGGATTTCCGCTGTCAATTTTCCAGCTCTATATGTCAATGCACTCACGGAATCCGCTCAGTTTCATGCGTTTGCCCTCAAGTGGACATAGCCAAAATCATGAAAGCAAAGCCTCTCCCTCAGATATCTAAGAATTTTCTGATCTTTTCAGAGCGAAACATGGTCTACGCAAAAGCTGGCGTAGGATCCGCTCTACAATTACAATGTTGTCGCAGAAAATTTGAAAATTACGTCCCGTATTTCCAACAGCACCTGTACATTAGAGAGCGGAGATTTGATTGGATGTTACAACTGCCTCACTGGAGCAGAACTGAGTGTATCTTGTCAAAGCAGTGAGGGAGAAGTCACAGCGAATGTGGTGTGTCCAACTCAGACTCAGATTCTAAGATGCACAACCAAAGGTCACCTCAACAGAATACGTCTCCACTTCGACAGCCCAACTGTGTCACAGCAGTGCTTAGTGTCTTGTCCAAGGCGGATCCACGAACATCACTATCAAGGGAATTCTTCAATTCTCTAATGAAGACCTTCTCAATGAAGACAGTTCACTACAGAACAGAGTTGGCAAAATAACGGAAAGTCTACCATTCTTCAAACACTTTTCATCAAAAATTTTCAATTTCTTCAAGAAAATTCCACAATTTTTCTCCTCATTCAGTATGGTTATCAATTTCATCTTTTTTTGGTTCTCCTTTTCTTTGTCTTGACTATATGCCAAATTGCAAACGCACTGCTCAAATCCTTCTGTTCAGGAACTCTCCAGAACAAAAAGGCTCTCTGACATTCTCCGCGCGGGAGTTTCTGTAACTTCTACAGAATCGCCATCGACTGGACGCCTATCTACATGATAACATATCATGCTTGCTTTCAGCCTTCTCATTTGCATATAAGCACATAGCGCTTTCATGTTTGCAGCTGATCGTCCTTATTTTACATATTAATAGATAAGCTTCCTAACATGCAAATTCTGCCACATGAGGAGAAATAGCATAGAAGCAAAGGAGAAGAGGAGCAGAAGATTGCAGGTTCGAATCCTGCCGTGGTCACCACCTTTTTCTATCGGTGGAAGACGGAGACGAAGGCTTTCAATGCTTTATTGAAGACAAAAACGATTGATCTTGGCGCGGCTTATATACAGCCGAAAATCCACAGATTCTCCTTTGCTTCTACGCTATTTCTCCTCATGTGACAGAATTTGCATGTTAGAAAGATTATCTATTAATATGTAAAATAAGGACGATCAGCTGCAAACATGAAAGCGCTATGTGCTTATATGCAAATGAGAAGGCTGAAAGCAAGCATGATATGTTATCATGTAGATAGGCGGCCAATCGATGGCGATTCTGTAGAAGTACAGAAAGGGGAGAGAAGGTATTGTAAATATTAGGAAATAATGCTTTGCAGATCTTTGGATGATGCAGACGGGCAAGCCAGACACAATTTTTGTCTATTATGAAAAGTTTTTAAAAATTTATTCTACCCAAGTGCCAGCCTTTTGTAATGGATTGGTGGAGGTAAGTGACTGCCCAAATTTTCGAGGTTAGGTCAAAATTTCAGAATTCGCTAGAAGTTTGCTCAAAGGGAGAGTCTGGCTCCCTGATTACGAATATCATACTTGTTCGAAGCAAAAATGCCTGGCGCCTGCGCTACAAGCGCCCAAAGTAGTGAGGAGCGATGCCGCCCAAGTTCGTTATTAATTGCCCTTAAATTCTTTGTACTGTTAACTATACGCAAGCATGTTGGACTAGCGATGTTAGGAGTCTTCCTAGCTATCTTACTGCAAACGGCAAAAGAACAAACTCGCCAGGGAGTTGATCCCCTGACCTCTTTTTCGTGAGCCTCGACCACAGCCCCTGCGCTTTTCTGCTTCATAATTCCTTTCAGAGAAGAGTTCAGCAGATAAGGAACACATATTTGAGCTCAGCGTCCCAAGGCGCGTATACACATATACATCTCATTTCAAATGGCCGGGTTGACCAAATGACCTTTCCTGGTAAGTAGGAACTAATACTATTTCTTGCATCAACAATTGGAAGAATAATGTGCATGCATCTCTGTAATACTCAACACCATAATGCATAGCTTCACCTACTGCGCAACGCATACGACTAGCCAGTATTCAAATAATAGCAGGATCCTCAACGACTCCCGAGTCGCCGAACTGCTGAAATCCTTCTTCCGTTCAAAATCTTGAGGTAGGGAGATTCAAGACATGTGGACTTCTGGTTCTTACTTCAGTGTCCCTCTTCCAACAACATTACAACAAAAAGGTCTATCCTACTTCCTACTAACTATAAAGCGCTTCGTCTGTCGTCTGTCTGTATGTCTGTCACGAAATTCCCTAGCTCCTCGGGATCCGCCTGGAGGGACCGGGTCAAGTGTGGGATGGGTGGGCAAGGTCTCACGAAATACAAAACACACATCAGCTAAGCGGAGCCCGCCCACAGAGGGCGTGGCGTGCGTCGAAATGAATTGTACCGAAGACCAAGATTTCGATTTCAGTGACAAAACGACCTCGAAACTGGGCCAAAAAGTGGGTAAAGGTGTGCATTGGTAAGTCACATCGAATTAGGGAGACCCACCCCCGGTGGGCGGGGCGTTCTCTAAAAAAGCAGTGCTTTATGAAAAATTTCATAACTCGGTTGGGAGAAAGCCTACAGAGCAGAAAACAATTTGGTGTAAGGGAGCAATGTCTAAGGTGTTTCCTGCATACATGACGTGGGCGGAGGCCCGCCCAGAATGGGCGGGCGCGCTCTGAAGTGTACAGCATTTTCTACAAGTCCTCATAATTCGGGCCGGGGAAGTCTTAAGAGCCGGAAAAAGGTGGATGAAGTGGGTAGAGGAGTGGAGCTGTCCGGTGGGCGGGGCTTGACCAAAGTGGGCGGAGTTTGCGACGAAAATTCATAACTCGGCTCCAAGAAGTCCCGGAGGCCGGGAAAAAGGTGGGGGAGGTGGGTGGAGGAGTGGAGGCCAGCTGTCACGGTGGGCGGGGCTTGACCAAAGTGGGCGGAGTTTGCGACGAAAATTCATAACTCGGCTCCAAGAAGTCCCGGAGGCCGGGAAAAAGGTGGATGGAGGTGGGTGGAGGAGTGGAGCCCATTGGTGGGCGGGGCATGACCAAAGTGGGCGGAGTTTGCGACGAAAATTCATAACTCGGCTCCAAGAAGTCCCGGAGGCCGGGAAAAAGGTGGATGGAGGTGGGTGGAGGAGTGGAGGCCAGCTGTCATCGGTGGGCGGGGCTTGACCAAAGTGGGCGGAGTTTGCGACGAAAATTCATAACTCGGCTCCAAGAAGTCCCGGAGGCGGAAAAAGGTGGATAGAGGTGGGTGGAGGAGTGGAGGTTAAATGCCATTGGTGGGCGGGGCATGACCAAAGTGGGCGGAGTTTGCGACGAAAATTCATAACTCGGTTCCAAGAAGTCCCGGAGACCGGGAAAAAGGTGGATGGAGGTGGGTGAAGTAGTAGGAGCTAGAATATTATTGGTGGGCGGAGCAAGTCCCAGGTGGGCGGAGTTACCAAGGAAAATTCATAACTTGGCGAGGGAAAAAAGATCAGCTGCTTCCAAGAGGTCCCAGAGACCGGTGAAAAAAGGGGTAGAGGTCGGCGAAAGGAAGGGGGCCAAATGCTATTGGTGGGCGGGGCACGCACCGAAGTAGGCGGAGTTTGCCACGAGATTTATTGTCCGGAAGCAGTCCGGAGACCGAGAAAAAGAGGATAATGGTTGACGAAGAAAAAGAGGTTGAAAGCCGTCGATGATGGAGCGGATAGAATTTAGCTGAGAATTCAGATATTCGTGGTGTATCAAGCCAAATTTGAAAATTTTCGTCGCACCATCAAAATTCGCCGCAGATCTGTGTTGCGCGCGCAATGCGTGCGGCGCCAACTGGTCTCTAAAAAGGTAGAAAATAAGTGAAGCAATACCTGAGTAACGCGCTGCACTAAACAGTCATCAGCATAGATACCCTTGTGATCGCACTTCAAACGCTGAAATCGGTTATCCTTTATAACTTTCAAAGCGATTTTGAACCGACGTCCAGCTTTTTCCAGTTCGCCCATCACACAATCCGTTATGTAGGGAATCGCTGAAAGGGAAGCGTTGTTACTGCGATACTGAATGGCAATGGAGGTCAAAATATGAGTAGAAACTAACTATGTGCATAGAGACAATCTCGGAAGCCTTGAATTACGTCCAGCCGATTCTTAACAGCAAAGTTGACGAAATTTGTGTCGACGAGCACGTGAAATGGAGGACCAAGCTGATTATTGAATTTAAGGAACATAGCGGACGAAATTTTCGGGCTAAAATTGTAGCTATTAATATATTACCTTGTTTTAGAAGGCAACGATAAAACTTACGCCTCCTTGATTTTCAATTCCTGCTCATCCTCTTTCTTTTTACGAATAATCCTGTTCTCTTCTTTTCTGAAAGGTCCACATAATGTAAAAAAGAATATACAGACGTATGGGACACTTTCACTTACTTCAATCTTTGATTTCGAAGAACAACCTCACTTGGGCTTATATTTATCAGTAGGTCCCAATAACGAAGAAAAAGGCAAACGCCGACCGAGTCTATTTTCGCATCCACGGAATGCATATATGGTGACCATAACTACTGTATTATAACAAAGTAATTATGGCAATCGCAGTTTCAACTAAATAAGATGGAACACCTCAAACATTCCCTTTAATTCGCAGCCAAAATAGCATCAATACTGTTAAACATGGCTGGTTTCGGCAGGGATTGTAACTCATTCACGTTTCTATACACTTCGAAAGCAACAGGCAGAAAGTCACACTTTCAATGGACCAGCAAATGTTTGCGGTAAAAGAGGAGTTTAACTTTTTAAACACATGCATGCTCGCTAGCGCCAGCCATGAAGCTGTGTAAGAGGGTTACCTCACTTTAAATAACCAAATGCTCTTCTCCGCTACATTTCACGCCAAAATTTGTGTTACGGGATGGGCAAAACTTGGCTATGTCAGAAAAGAAGTCACGGACTGTTGAAAAATATACATCAGGGACATCTTCGAAGATATCCTGCGAGAGGGGAGGGGGAATCGCTCCAAAAATGAAATATGGATTTTTCAATACGACAGAGCTCCAACTGCAAAAAAGGAACTCTGAGTAGGTGCGGCGCAAAGGTCTCAGGTTTATCATAGCATCTCACTGGATAGCAGTAGATCACCTGATCCAGATCTATTCACTGGATTTTTATGTTGAAGGGCGAATCCTGCGATTTAAAACGCGCTATGGTCGGAACTCTGAAAAAACCACTGGATGAGACCTGGGTCGAAGCTCCTCAATTAACCCTACATACCGCTATCGAATAGTACTCGGAGTGCTAGCAGTACTTTTCAATTTATCCAGCCACATCTAGTGAGCTCCTCTGTCATTACGATGCAAAATAAATGTTTTGTCGGATTTTAGCTGAGTTTGCAGTTTCTGGGCCGATTACTTCGTTACCTATCACAAATATAACTCCACAGCGTCATTAGTAATCCTGTACTCTGAAATTTACACGGTCTTAAACTTTGTAAAAACATAGATCGCGATGTGTTCTAATTTATTTACCCACTGCTCCTCTAACATTCACGAAGCAGAACGCTGCATAAGGGTTCATATGCTCGCTGCAAACTAAGAGGAAGCTAAAGGCTAGAAGCATATTTCCACTTAACGCCTATATGGAAATAGATACGTCCCCGCTATGTCGTTTTGTGCTTATAGATTATGACGCAAAGGCGGATAATCTCCCTGTTTAAACGGTAAACTTCAGAAAGTAAAGAAGAAACCCTGGCCTACCGATGCGTCCTAAAATACGAGCTCGGTACAACTGCAGCCCTGGTTGGCAAAAATTTCCAGAAGTAAAAGACTCGTAGAAGAAATTTCTTAGAAAAATCCGGAAATCCAGGTGCCACTACAGATACTTGAAGGTGTCCTACTGGGTTCTAAGTGGCTTGGGGGGGGGGTGGAACACGCGCGGCGCGGCGTTTCAATCGCAATGGCACTAGGCTTGTACCCAGGGAGTAGGCTCAAAAATGCAAAGGTGAATTCTGAGGAATCACACAATCACCCTGTTTACAGCATGACCTTTCTATTCCTAGGCTCACGGTTACTGCGATCGCGCTTGTGGGACACCGTGCCGCTGCATAATCTCATCCCCCAACTTACTTAGCGCAGTCTCACTGTTTTCATTCAGTAACCCCAGAAAATGTGTAAATATCTGCTCAGAAATATCTGCACATCTCATCTGAATAAGGATGAAGAGGCTGCTTACTATTTGACCACACATAACTGCATCCTCTACAGGTGATAACGAAGTCGCTATTCAGTGTAGGGCAAAGTTCGATTCCCATACAGGGTGGTACAACAAGCATACGGTTCCTGTTTTTTTTTTCAGGTGAAAGAGAGGAATCTAATCCAATACTATATGGGTCTCATCCAGTAAGGGGAGGGGGGGGGGCATTGTGATGCAACGTCAAGTGGCTGCCCTAGACTGCCTTCACTCCCCCTGGCTCACGGGGTCCCGTACTTCGAGAAACCTGTGCGCCAGGGGGAGTGTAGGCAGTCTAGGGGGTGGGGTGAGGGCAGCCACTTGATGCCCCCTTACTGGATGAGACCCCAATATATCTTGAGTGTATCGGATATCTGGCGCTAACCACTTACTAAACAAGCGCTGAATTTCTCAAACGCTTTCTAAACAAATGTTTCCAGCAAGTAAAATAACTCACATCCTGCTGTCGGTCATCTTCAAAATCTTGATTTTCCTTGAGACTTTAGCAGTTTTTTTGACACGCCCCATCTCCGATCTGAAACACCTACCCGGTAAGATGTTGGAGGCATGGAAAAGATAGACGAATTACTCACCTGTCTACCAAGTGAAAAAATAGAAACTGAGCAAAAAACAAAACTGGAACGAATAACAGCTGTACGTACCGCCGAGGAATGAAATTGATGTGGGTTAAAACGTGTGCGGTGTTGCACGGACCAAACAATGAAACCAACGCGTCATTTTGTAGGTGATCTGCTGCAAGTGTTGCGGTGATCTCTAGTCGAGCTGGATCACCGTGAATTTATTTTTGAAAGTATAGAGCAAAAGCGTTGAAGAAATCGTTGTATAGGGAAAAAGCAAGCAAACGTAAGCGGTTCAGAGAAATGAAAAAATGCCATCATTGATAAAAACTCGGCAATTCAGCTTGTTTGCGAGAGAAGCGCGGGTCAAATTTTCAACAATCAATAGGGATCCCAGAAATAGCCGACACTGAGTATAAAAAAGCGCCTACCATCAGATTAGTTGAATACTGTCAATGTACTCATTGAACCATTGCCAGCGTGAATCTCCAGAATTATTTCAGGAGTCGTTCCAGATGGGAAGAATCACAAGCAAGTCTACCACACATGTTTAGCTAAGGAGGAAAGGCGCTGAATTCGAGCTGTGACAGTTCGAAGAGAATCACGGGATTTCTCGGCGCCTTGGAAAGAAAACTACCCATATTTAGATTTCAAAGGTAGCTGGTGGAAATTGAATGGTGCTCTCGCTCACAGGTGGTGAAAGGAGAGCTATAAAATATTCGTCTAAACTACCACAAGAGCGTAAATTCAGAGCAAAACTCTTCGCCTGAGCGGGACTCAACCTGTATCAAAACAAATGTATCGATCAAAACACGAATTGTCTAAATCTTTCACGACATTTATTTCATGGCAAAACAAATATAAACGGCTCTAATATTTATATGAGATCTCATCCATCGCCTTCGCCATCTTTGGGTTCGTCGTCCTTGGGTATGGCTAAAAACAAGATTTAAAAAAATCGTATTTTGCTTGATTGGGCTGTGGAAGCAATCAAAAATGTTGTCCTTACTCTTGAAGCATTGTGTCCGCATGGCACATTCCATAAACGCTATCAACTGGTCCCCACATGCACCCGCTTCATATTCTTCCGTGCCGTCAGATGGACTTCGGGACAAGTGACAGCGTCTCTTAACAAATTCTTCGATTTCGAAGAGCAGTTGCAACAAATTGTATCAGATCCTCCAGAATGCGATAGTAAGGGCACGGCCATGCTTGGCGAAAGTGGAAAACTGGTCGCCGTCGCCTAAAAGCGACACAGTTGTGCGCTATTTCGAACCAAAGAAGCAGGTGTTGAAAACGGAAGATGTTTTTTACATCATACGTAAGACACAAGGAGGTTTGATAGCACGCCTAAGTGCTCTCTGCATTCTTCACATAGACGGCTTATCCACATGGGCCGCTCAATGTCGCCTTTTAAATTCCCTCTGAAACTGGACATGCGAACGCTTCCTACTTTTATCGTTTCTGTTCCTTCCAGTTGATTTCAAGTTTCACGATACTGTCATCCTACAACGGCGATGGTTTTTTTTTACCCAACTGCAAGTATAACAGCAAAGAACGTCGCAAGCTCTGGACTAGCTACGAGCAAATGCGATCAACAGATGAGCTTCAAGGCTATACTTACCTGAATTCATATCCACAGGGACTAGCAACAAGATGCCCGACACAATGACACTCGAAATTGATAGATCCGTCTGGTTTAGTTGGACCTTAACAGTACATGTGCCTGATGCAGCTTTCCCCCAATCCAAGTAAGACTGCTTCAATACCTGGATTGTTCGACGGGTATACATCGTTGGGATCCATCATAGCTATTCGTTGAATGTAGTCATCCTTGATATCGTCCCAGAATTCACGTTCGGTAATGTAGAGCACCTAAGTAGATAGGTAAGAATGATTATGTTGAAAATAGACCTAACTTAAAGCAATATGTAACCCTTGCGACACATAAGCCGCGAAGGAGGATTATAAAGGGTCCTCTTTCGTCTGTCCTTGATGTGGGACATGGAAGAGCCCAATATCGAGTTCAAGACATATTTCAACGAAAGACCATTTAGCAGCTCTTAGCAGCAGCAGGAAGAAACATGAAACTGTGCAAACCAGGGATAATATGATGAGGCACTCAAGAACTCCACATTCAGTTGTAGTTGCTTCTGTTCAAGAATATGGAACATAGGAATTATGCTCCACATTCAGTTGCTTGGTTTAGCTGAAGTTTAAAGTAAAGATTTTTGATTCAGTGATGCAATGAAGGCGCCTTCCAAAGTTGGAAATATTGCCAGCCTCAAGTAAGCACAGCCGAATCTTTTAAAACGCTGCTCTGTTGGGGAAGTAATATGGTTCAAACCATCTCAATCACTACAATAAATTCGGCCGCGAGCCGCAAATTGCCAAGAAATCGCAAGGTGCCCATCTGAAAATTCGAATTACTGGATATGAAACAAGCTAACAGAGCGCCCATGAACAGTCGGCCAATTCAATCATCGCACCAAGCGCAGGAAATGGTGCGGCCGAAGATTAGACAGCACCTGCAGTATCAATCGAGTGCTCGATGATTTCTATTGAATCCGGTTCGCGGGCGAATCGCGCGAATTCGCTACTGATCGGCGGACTCTGACACCAGCCTTAGGTTTCACAGCACACTCTTGCACAAATCTGCAGGATAGTTTGAATACAGCAAGTTTCTACTCTGAGATGTTCCCTATGACTTCTTCACACAAATCGTCAAGCCATGTAAATGGATTTCTAAGGTGTCGCGAGAATGGCGTATGATTATGTGCCTGCTTAGAATGCTTCCAAACAATCGGAAGAAGTGAAATAAAAGAGAAGAGACAACTCACTTCATCTTTGCTATCCGTCTTAGACATCTCCGTGTGCATATGGTTGGTATCAGTTGCAAATAAGACGCCTCTCGAGTTCGCCAGGTTAAGAATGGAAAAAGTCATCAGGTACTTGTTGGGGTCTGGAAATTGGTACAGCGTTCGAAATGAAGCGCAATACGGACAAACTTGGCTCACTGCGCCTTACACTCCACGATCAATCCCGATGTTGCGTAAATTAAGAATTGCTTTTACTCCATCCTAATATTCCACTTCTCGAAAATGAATTCAAGTCCATCCGCTGCAATCGCTAAGCTGCGATCTACAGGTCAGTTTTTGGTTTGTCATTTTTTGATGGATGAACTTCGAGACAACTTTGAAGACAATAATAATACTCAGATTTAGGAATGCTCTCCCAATTGCGAGTTATCGCTACTCTTCTACTGCTAGAAATACACTTATCAATTCGTTCCTAAACAAGAAGCATGAGGTAGTGGCAACGTATGCGTGACAAATTGTACAAATACAACCTTGATCCTGTGAGTTTGATGCGCTTAATTTGTGGTTTTATTTCCACTATTTTTAGCTGTTAAAGCATATTGGTTCTATCTTACTTAGGGGGCATCATGATGCAGTTTTGGGTTCATAGAAAGCTAGGGTAACTCCGACGCCAACGCGGAGTGTAGTCAGTCTAGTGTGGTAGGGAATGAGCGGCGTGCATTCAAAACATGCGCGTGAAAAGCGGGAATTTTTAGAGTTAGCACCACGTTGTGAGAAGCACTCAATCAGAGCTGCTCCCCTAGTATTATTAGACCCTCATATTGTAACTAACTAACGATTGTTCGCGAGTCGCGGTAGTCAGCTGAACTGAATATTAATCACCGTATTAGAGTCATTCTTCACGTTACCTCTTGTCGCTAGTAGAAAATCCTCAACAAGGGAGCAGCCAATAAAGCAACAACCCCAGATCTAATTGGTGTGGTAGAAGCAGGTCGATAATGAATTTGTGGGTGCCGAACTGACCGAAAATGAAAGCAAGAACAAAGCGAACCGCCGGTCAAGCTATCAACAAATATTCCTCTACTTCCTACTTGAAAATAAAGGGGCGACGCCAGGACGAGTTGTAACGAACTTATTGCTCTACGGGCTCAACGACCCGCGCGTATGTTGACTAGCGCTATCGCCATATAACGTTTGGCGTGTTCATGGGATCGCGCGTGGTATCCGTCCGTAAATTTCGCAGTAGTCGACCATATAAGGTTTCTAGCCACTTCGGCGCAATTAGTCTCACACGTCCCAGACGCAGACAATAGCTGAAATGTGACACTCTTGTGCTACTCTACCACCCGCAGAATAGATCCTTCGACACGACATCATCTGGGGTTGTCTTCCCGGTCCATAATCGCTGGTGTGTCTTCTTTATCTTATCAGTGTCACCGACTCGCGAAGGGTCAAGCTGAATTGGGGAAGGAATATTGAACGCGCTCCGAGTTTCCTGCCTTGCAACACTCCAGAAGAAGTTGAGGGATGTATAGGAGAGGAGCACTGAAAGGAAGGCGCTTTCTAATGCGCCACGCATTCCTCCACCGCCCAGACTAGTAATGGTCTGTGAGATGACACCACGCAGCGGTTTGGTATGTTTATCAATGTTTCCATAACCGCCATTCGACGCTTAATCATCAACGCATTTCAATTTTCTGCGCAGTGGGTGCCCAGCCATATCTCCGGTGCCGTGTAAACACTTTTCGCACGACTTTTTTTTTGTGGTTGCACCTAAAGTGGTACAAATCTTCGACTCCGATTAGCTACATGTGTTGTTGATTTCCATTGATTCAGGGTCTCAACATCTTGATTCCATTCCTGGACAGGATAAAATTCGTTCAAAATTTGCGAGAAATCGCTATTGAAATTCCACAACAAGGTGCTATCACTCTTGACAACGTTCAACTTCAGTTAGACGGTGTACTCTATTTGAGGGTTTTCAACCCATATCGGGTGGGTATCAACTTCTTTTTAGCTTATCTTTAAAGTTTCACCCTCAGGGTTTCTCTTTGTTCTCGAATCTACCCATCAGGTTTCTTAATAGGCTTCGTATGGTGTAGACGATCCAGAGTTTGCTGTCACTCAGTTGGCTCAGACAACTATGAGGTCTGAGGTTAGTGTCCAGATCACCATCGATGGTTTGCATGGAACCGATTTGTATTACTTGACTGGTTTGTTAAGGTAGGAAAAATCAGTTTGGATACTGTATTCAAAGAACGAGAGCAACTGAACGTGAACATAGTTGAGGCGATCAATAAGGCGGCTGAACCGTGGGGAATTAAGTGTATGCGATACGAAATCAGTGAGTTTCTTCTTTCCATTAGCTTTAGTCGACCCCTGCATAGCTCTCTCATCTTATTCTCGTTTGCTTTCAGGAGACATGCATATGCCTGAAAAGATCCAGGAAGCTATGCAAATGCAGGTAGGCTATCCGGATAGAGTTCCATAGTTTGAGTATCTGATCTCAATGGTAGTTATGAATGGATCCGCTGTGTTTCTCTTTTATATTCCTTATTTAGAGACTTCTAGAGATTCTACCCATATGTTAAGGTAGAAGCTGAACGTAAAAAGCGCGCAGCAATTCTGGAATCCGAAGGTCTTCGAGAATCAGCTATAAATAAGGCAGAAGGATTGAAAAAAGCAGCTATTCTAGCATCTGAGGCCAGGGAAGCAGAACAGGTACTCACTCTATATATACTTCTCGTGATCTTTTTTTTTAATTTACAGATAGGCTTGAGGATTAGAATAGCGTGTGTGCCCTGAAAGCTCGAATTCCTAGTGTACCTTTTTTCCAACTCACTTCGATTTTGGTACCCACATAACGCCTAATTACTTGATTCAAATCTATTCGGGTTAGATAGTTTTACATGTGGCCATGCCTAATGCATGTAGGATTTATCCTGAATGTAGTTACCAACGGTCTCAAACCATTTCTACGGTTGCTCTATTCATCTGGCTCATTTTACCTTCTTCAGATTAACATTGCTCGTGGTGAAGCTGAGGCTCTTCGAATAAATGCTGAAGCAAAAGCTCAGGCTATTGAAAGGATAGCTACAGCTCTCAATCAGAAGGTCGGTTTCATATTCCTTCTCGAAATGCTTTTTTCAATTGGAGTTTTCGGAGTTTCAACAGATTGTTCCTCCCAAATATCCATTTTGGGGAGGTAAAAAGGCTCTTCTGGGCTATGTGCAACGTGATCGTCATTGTGGTAAATCAC